AGATGCCAAACCAAGCCACTCGCACCTCTAACATAAACTTAAACTCTAATATAATTATATATTTTTTATATTATGTGACAATTATTGTATCATTTTTTGTCTAATTTTGAACAATAGTTAGCTTTAGATGTACAATGGGAAAAACTTAAACCATGAAAGATTAAAGTGAAAAATAAATAAATTTTAAGAGCCAAAGTGAAAAAGTAGTCAAATATAATGATGATCAAATAAGTGAAAAAGTAGTCAAATATAATGATGATCAAATGTAATTTATCTTTTATTTTTTTGTATTAAAACATTAAATTAAATAGGTTATAATTATTTAGTTAATTTAATTTTTTTAATAAATAATTATAAAAATATTTTATAAAATAAATAGTTCAAATTAGCAAAACACAAAATATAATGAATCTTACTTAAGAGGGTAATTTGTAAACAAATTAGGCCAAGCTAGGAAGAGTCTTCTTCGGGAGTTGGGCCGAGATAAGGGCTGGCGTAGCTCTGTCTTAGGCCAAGAAGACATCTCATATTTCGGGTTTGGGCCAAACTATAGGCTGAGGTAATTATTTATGTAGCACGGTCCTTGATCATCTAAACATCGGGTCAGTCAGAGATGGGCTACCAGTGACCTGACTTAGCTATCCTGGACCGAGGTATCAGTGGAGGGAGAACCGAGCTAAAGGATAGCTCTGCAGGGCATCATCTCAGAGTCAAGACTGACAGTGGTGCTTAAAGTATCACCGAGCTGTGTGAGCATGGTTGACCGCAATGTCAGTCGAGGTAAGGGTTCAGCCATCTCACTTGGCTTGCAGTGATGAGGGTGTTTTACGGATAATCATTATCCATGGGCTTGAGACTCCTAGAAGGACTCTGCTAAGGAGAGTAGAGTCCTGCTAGGATTATGCAAAACCATCTCACTTGGTTGGTAATGAGTAGGAGTGTAACTCCTAAGAGGACTTTGCTGAGAAGAGTAAAGTCCTACTAGGATTGTGCAAACCATCTCACTTGGTTGGTAGTGAGTAGGGTGTGTGATTCCTAGAATGACTTTTATAAGGAGAGTTGGAATCCTACTAGGATTATGCAAAGTAAAGTCTATAAAAGCTCATGACCAGACCTATGTACAGGTATCACAATTCTTACTCTAGAATACACAGAGTTTATTGTCTATTGTCTAGTTGCTGACTTAGGCATCAGAGGGGTTTTAGGCACAAACTCGCCGGCTAGCTCGTGTTTGTGTTTTCAGGTGGCAAAGCAACGATGTTTGGAGGAGTGCAAACTTGATCAATAGAATTATACAAGAAGATTATTTCTGTGCTCATACAATTGGCGCCGTCTATGGGAATTACACATAGAACAAAACTTTTTGATCGAGTTTTCCTCTCTAGTTGAAATCAATGGCGCATAACGAAGATTTTTCGCAATCTGCTATAGATGGGCAAACCTCGGAAGGGGGTAGGAGGCGCGAAGGTTTACCTTCTATCCCACCCATGGCGGAATTAGATCCCCAACGAAGGAATCCGCGGAGAGAATCGAGAGAAAGACGGGGCTCAAGTCCACATCGCTCTTAAAGCCCTGATAGACAGAGGCGGAAGATGGATCCTCAGGTTCTCGAAGATCGCGTAAGGGAGCAAGACGAAGTAATAAGAAGAATGGTGGTTGACATACAGTCTATGAAGAGCCAAATAAAAGGCAAAGGGGTGGCAGTAAAAGAGCGGCGCAAAGGCAACACATACTCTTGCCACTCAGAAGATCGTGACAGACAAGTCACACCATCACAAACTAAAAGTAGAAACCTCAGGTCGGGCGATACATAATCAAAGACTTCCAAGACACGCTACTCCAGGCCTGAGAGAATGAGGACTGAAAAGGCTCAAAAGAGAGAAGACACTCAGGCTCGCGACCCCCGCAGAGTCTCTGCACTACAACGATTGGCTCCTAGAACACATGGGAGTGTCGAGGTTGAAATTCCAGAGCCACGTCTTGCCTATGAACCAGCAGACAAAGCATTAGCAAGGTTGCAGAGCTCACTGTTCATTCCGACAATAGAGAACGCATCATTATCCTCAGGCTTCCACCAGACCAAATTCACTACTTATGAGGCGAAGTCGGACCCCTACATACACTTGAGCCACTTTTACCAGGTTATGGCCGTGTATCAGCGAAATGAGGCTCTAATGTATATCATGTTTCCTTCTAGCCTTGGTGACCTGGGTTTAACGTAGTTTGAAAGGTTGCCAGAAGGTAACATAGCTTCGTGAGCGCAACTAACGGAGGCATTTGTGACCAGATTCAAAACGAACACCAAGACACCAGTGGAGATTGACCAGCTTCTCTCCATAGACATGAACGAGAAAGAAGCATTGAGATCTTACAATAATCGGTATTGGGAGACTTTTAATTAGATTGGAGATTGCCCTACAAACCTAACTATCGCACAGTACAAACGAGGTTTGCCGGCTAGCAATAAGTTGAGGGATTCAATGACAATGGCGTCACCCCTTACTATGGAAGTCCTAATGAAGAGAGTGCACCAACACATCCAGGTAAAGGAAGATGGGGCGCGCACCAAGGTGGAGTCTGGCACAACAGTGATACCAGACAAAAAGCCTTTAGCCAGAGTTAACACAGTTGACAAGTAGGACTGACCGCGCAAAAGTCTTTGCCCAACTGGGGGCAAAGTGGGTTGGCAGGTTTGACTAACTTTTTCTAAATAAGCCTTTGCCCAATTGGGGGGCAACAAAAAAGGTTGGAAGGTTTGACCAACACTTTTTTCATTCCTAAGCCGAGATAAGGATCTAGGCTGCAGGAAGTTGGCAGGTATGACCAACATTTAGCTCTCTTTAGCCGAGATAAGGATCTAAACTGAAGAAGGTTGGCAGGAATAACCAACATTTAGCTCTCCTAAACCGAGATAAGGATCTAGGCTGTAGGAAGTTGGCAGGTATGACCAACATTTAGCTCTCTTCAGTCGAGATAAGGATCTAGGCTGAAGAAGGTTGGCAGGAATAACCAACATTTAGCTCTCCTAAGCCGAGATAAGGATCTAGACTGAAGAAAGTTGGCAGGTATGACCAACAAAACTTTTGCACTCTTTGGCCGGGAGGACAATTACCTCGGCCAAAGTAGGTTGGCATGTTTGACCAACAAGTTTTTTGGATTCTTCAACTGAGATGCGTATCTCGACCAAAGAAGGTTGGCAGGATCAGGTAAGGCCAAGCTAATTAGTCTGGCTAGGTTGGCGGTCGGAATAATGTAAAACATTGAAAAAAAAACACAATAACCGAGCAAAGAGATCAAAATTTTTCATTAATTGGAAAATGATTACAAAAGGTGTGGCATATAGCCCGGTTACACTAAAAGAACGCCTTCTCATATGATTGCGAACTCGAAGGATATAAATATTGAAGGCAAAAAAGCAGAGCTGTTCAAAATTTTGAAAGTACATGACGATTGTAACAAGAGAACGAGAATAATAGGGGTATGCCACGTATCTTGGGAATGACGTCGTGCCAAATTAGTGGAAGAACATGTTGAGCAACTGACAAGGCTTATTGGGGGCGAACGAGCTATGAAACCGAACAACTTTTTATCTCGGCAGAGTGGGCCGTTCTTAGCTCGGCTGGAGGAAAAATAATCCCAATCATGCTTCGCAAATGGAATTAAGGGGCAATTGAGAGGGTAATTTGTAAACAAATTGGACCGAGCTAGGAATAGTCTTCTTTGGAAGTTGGGCCGCGTAATGGGCCGCGATAAGGGCTGGTGTAGCTCGGTCTTAGGCCAAGAAGACATCTCATATTTCGGGTTTAGACCGAACTATGGGCCGAGATAATTATTTATGTAGCACGGTCCTTGATCATCTAAACATCGGGTCGGTCAGAGATGGGCTACCAGTGACCTGACCTAGCTATCTTGGACCGAGGTATCAGTGGAGGGAGAACCGAGCTAAATGATAGCTCTGCAGGGCGTCATCTTAGAGTCAAGACTGACAATGGTGCTTAAAGTATCACCGAGCTGTGTAGGCACGGCCGACCGCAATGTCAGCCGAGGTAAGGGTTCAGCCATCTCACTTGGCTTGCAGTGATGAGGGTGTTTTAGGATAATCATTATCCTTAGGCTTGAGACTCCTAGGAGGACTCTGCCAAGGAGAATAGAGTCCTACTAGGGTTATGCAAAACCATCTCACTTGGGTAGTAATGAGTAGGAGTGTCACTCTTATGAAGACTCTACTAAGGAGAGTAAAGTCCTACTAGGATTGTGCAAACCATCTCACTTGGTTAGTAGTGAGTAGGGTGTATGATTCCTAGAAGGACTCTTATAAGGAGAGTTGGAATCCTACTAGGATTGTGCGAAGTAAAGTCTATAAAAGCTCATGACCAGACGTATGTACAGGTATCCCAATTCTTACTCTAGAATACACAGAGTTTATTGTCTATTGTCTAGTTGCTGACTTAGGCATCGGAGAGGTTTTCGGCACAAACCCGCCGACTAGCTCGCGTTTGTGTTTTCAGGTGGCAAAGCAACGATGTTTGGAGGAATGCAAACTTGATCAACAGGATTATACGAGAAGATTATTTCTGTGCTCATACATTACTAATCAAATTATGCCTTCTAATTTAGATCTGGATTGGAGGAATCCAAACTCCAAATTAAAATTTCATCATAGAGTATACTTGTAATATCATGCAATCAAACATAAAGATCTCCAAAAAGAAAAATATAAGAAATCATTTCACTCATGAAATTTTAAGAAAAATGTAAATATAAAAATACAAAAACTCACTCTATTTGATTTGTAATTTTTAAAAACAATTTTTTGAATTTTTAATCTTCATTTTTAAAATTTTACTTCATTTAGGTATACGTAAAAAAATATAAAAATTATATAAAATATTTTTAAAAATTCATTGAATATAAGAAATATATATAATATATTTTCATATGTTGTGAGCATATTGAATGATTTTTTTATTTTTTTATTTAAATTATACAAAGTAGTATTTTGCTTCATCTTCGTCGTCAATTCAACAATCCCATCATCGCGTTCTTCTTCATTCTCATATCTCTCTCTCTCTCTCTCAATTGCTAGGACTAAAACCCTAAAATCATGGGTCAGTCGATCGGCTCGTTCGAGATTACGGGGGTTTGTTGGAAACAGTGAGTGATTGAAGTCGATTGTTAATGTGATCATGGGTTTGCGAGCTATGCTGAGAAAATGGTGAAGAGTTTGCCAATTGAGTTGAGTTCTTTCCTGACTAAAAAGGGTGTTAGTGGACATGGATGTTGTGGGTGTTCCTCGCAATGTGGAAACATTAATTTAATTCGATGTTATGTTAGTTGTTTGTGTAAAATTCACAAGACCGAAGATGCCTTGAACCTGTTTGATAGAATGGGTGAGTGAGTGGGGATGTCACCTACCCAGATGAGATGAGAAAACGTTTCTTGTTCTATCTAATTAAGAGTACTGGGGAAGGAAGGAAGGAAGGAAGGAAGGAGTCGAGATGATTGATAATCAAATGAAGAAATCTGCAGGATTCGGGGAAGCACTCAATAAGAAGAATGCCTGTATCATGTATTACGGGTTTCTTAAGATTTTGTGTGGAATTGAATTTGAGAGAATTTGATCATCTATGAGTGTAGATGAAGGAGGATGTTGTAATGTAATCCTGGGATTCAAACTTATGACTTGTTTTGATGGGGAAGTTGGTTGATCTGATCACGGCCGTGTGGATTGAGTAGGGTTCCATTATACAACTTTGATCCTTTACTTTTTGTGCTTCTTCTTGTTTCGGTTTTAATGTTGGCAACACTTGAATTACAAATAAAATCCAAATTGAAGGGTAAATTTTGTTGTCTATGCATTTGCATTTGCTTTTGTTTTTGTTTTTGTTTTTGTTTTTGAATGATAGGAAATGAATGAGATAAACGGAAGCTTGAGCGAAGAGAAGGCATCAGTCCCGATCATGCGCAGGTAATTATTTAACTTCTCATAGTGATTTTTTAAGGAAAATATCTTTATATATATATATATATTTTTTTTTGCTGTGATTTTTGTAAGCATTGTGAAATTTGTGATCTTAATTGTTAAATAATAAAAGATAGAAAGGATAAGATAGATCATGAGATTCAGTTATATGTCAGTAGTTCAATATTTCAATTATGGTATAGATGCAATGTGCAAATTTATCAAGGCTGACTAAAATGTATATTTTAAATTTTTGTTGTCAGGAAAAAACATTTTCGTTGCCAAGCTAGTTAACTTTTTTTATCCCATGTTTGTTCAGCTTCTCAAGCTTGCAAATCTGTCTGAGCTCTGTTTAAGATAAGATCGTATGGAAGCTAAAATAAACTACTAGAGTGCGATGAATATACTGGGATATATATTTTTGTACTACAGACAAACCTTATAGGTAATGATACAATACAAATTAGTATGGAATTTATATTCTCTTTAATTGTTCACAAACTTGACCTTTATTTGTCTTCATATAGAACATCTTCTTTCTTCTTCTTTTTTCCTGCATCTGGCCATCGCTCCTATCCCTTGAGAAAGATGATCATTCCTTCAAAACCGCTTTGCTCAATTTCTCTTCCTGGCATAACCTAAAAAACCCGTGTTCATGATCAACAGATGAACAGCAACGTCAACAGCACCGAAGCTGCCAGTGTCAAAAATGCAATATGATTTCCTTTGGCAGAGTTTGGTAAAACTGGATAGGCGTCGGGAGGTGGAAGCTTGCATTCATCCCCATTAAAGTAAACCTTCCGAGGGAATGCCCATCCTTGCTTGAACGTAAATGTTTCCTGGTTCTTTTGAAGAAGTACCTCGGATTGGACATTTCCCAACGGTCCAGCTTCCATTAGCAGGTCATTGTAGAATTTCATGCCGTAGAACATGCCAGTGTCATCTGCATGTGGTCAACATAGTATCCAAGTACTAAGCTTTGTGTTTGGAGGTTGTTTAGTGGAAATGCAAGTAATAATAACATGTTCGAAGTCTCGGGCACTCACTTATGGATTGGTAGGGGACAAGAGGCTTGTAGTCAAAGCTGAAAACTTGAGTCACGTTGTTGAGATTGGGATGCTGCGCCACAAGAGTCCACTGCGTGTAGTTCAGTTTGTAATTAAAATTAGTGATCGCTATCTTCACTCTCCAATAATCCTTGTAGTTAAGCTTCACGTGCCAGTGCACCCTTATCGGACACATATGATGAGTGCACTGTAGCAGCGGTGTACTATCCTTTCTCGGAGTATTGATTCCTGCCATGTTCAGTCTCTTCGAGTTGCTCCTGTTCGTCCAGAGCCAAAGAGCATATATTAGCCACTACTATACAGATTTATATGCATGAAAGTTGAAAAGAAGGATTACATGATGCAGTTTTTTTTGCTTTGGCAACCGCAAGAACATGTCGGACAAGGTGTGATTGTCTTGTTGTAGAAAGATGAGAAAGATACACAACAGCTCGGGTTTTTGGAAGCCAGAAATTGCGAATAAGTACACGTCACATTCCATGTCACTGCATCCAAGTGATCAATGATCAGGATTTCACTCTCTTAAGATGTAGTACATTGAACAATGATCAGGAGAACAAAATCTTACTCAATGCTTGAGTTTTTCGCCTGCGATCTGGAGTGAGGAAGACTGTGGATGGCACAATCTTTGCAGGGCCGCACGTGTACCCTGGTCCCGGACCCAGGAGAGTGAAGTTCTTGGGAAGTTTCACTGTTTTATTGGAAGTCCCAGCCTGTCCAACGCTGACCTGGAAGGCAGAGACTGCAGCTGCTGGATCTTGGCCCCATGCTGCCACAACACCGCCTTTGCAACAGTTTGAGAACTGTTGGTTGTAAGGAACTCCGGGAAGCAAGTCGACAATGGTGGGGGTTTTCTTGCAGCAGTGAGGTACGTTTCCTTTGAACTTGGAACAATCTCCTTGCTCAGTGGCTTGTGCTCCAACCATAGACCAAATCACATCCTTCTTTGCCCATGACCATGTCAAGGTCCACCCGGGGCTCATGATATGCCGATACATTTGGAAGTTGTTCATTGTCACTGCAGCCTGGATGACTTGTCAAATGACCATAGTATTATGTGTGTGTATGTAGGGCTACAAACGAGTCAAGCCCAGCTTTGCAGGGCTTGAGCTTGACTCATTTGTTTATCGAGCTCGAAATTAATCTAATTAGAGCTCAGATCGGCTCGGTTCGTAAATAGTAATCCTGCTCAAGCTCAACTTGAAGCTCAATAATATTATTTTATATTAAATATGCATATATAACACATTTTACATTATCTAATATATTTATCCTGGTATTTAAATTAATAATAAATGAACCGAGCTTGTTCTATCTGAAAGTCTGTTTCGGATTCATTTATATACATAACGAGCCAATGAGTCAAGTTCTTATTGACCCGCATCAAGCCAAGCTCATGAGCAGTTCAATTTATTTGCAGAGCCCAATGTGTGTGGATATATATATATATATATAACAATGGTCACTATTAAGATGATACATACCACATAACCATCTGCTGTCCAGGACACTACATCCCATTTGATTGTTATGTTTCCGAATGGATCCAACGGATCGTATGCCTCTGAAATTACAAATTAATAGCTAGAAAATAAGTACCCATTACACCAAAAAGGTAGAAGAATCAAAAGTTTGAAATACCCGTAAGCAATGAAATGTACCTCCATGAGAAATGATGATGAGTATGATAAGGGTGCCTAAGATGAACTTGAGTCCTGCAAATGAGTGGCAATCAAACTTTTGTTTGAGGGAAATTTCCCGAACAGGGTCAGCCGATGAATCGAATGCCATAGCCTAAGAAATTCACAGGGATTGCTAAGTTTCTTGATGAGGATGTGAATGAGGCAGTGACAATTAGGTGAATTTTGTTTGCAATAAAAAGGTTAAGTGGAGGTTCAAGTGAGAATGAGTGAATGGAGATGGCACACCTAATGGTTGTTAAGCTTTGTGATATTTTCATCTCTCTCTCTCTCTCTCTCTCTCTCTCTCAACTTTCATTTATGCTTCAGCAGTGAGGTTGAAGCAACAGACTATGGTGAGAAGATAAAACAGCGGGTAGAATTGAGACGTTTGAACACAACAGCTCAACAGTCATTCTCTTAGTTGTGCATAGCATACAAATCAAATTCATATTGAATATGACTAGTCACATTTTTCTTTTCTTTTCTTTTCTTTTCTTTTTTTTCCCCCTTGTATACAAGATTTTGTATATGTTCTTTGAATTATATCATACAAATCAAATTCATATTGAATATGACTAGTCACATTTTTCTTTTCTTTTCATTTTTTTCCCCCTTGTATACAAGAATTTGTATATGTTCTTTGAATTATATTAAAATCAACCATGTGAATTTCAAGATTTTGTGGTGGTGTTTGGCAAGTGATTTTGGGGTTAAAATAGCTACAAAAAATAAAATAGGTTATTTTAGCCGTAATAAACAAAACATCACATCCAACCCATAATCATTACACTCTTCTCTCACAAAAAAAAAGTCAAAAAAGTCAAAAAGTTAAAAAATCTTTTTCAAATCAAGTTTTTTAATCCAAGTTAAAATAGTCAAAAATGTTAAAAAGTCAATCAACTTCTCCAACGGAGGCTGTATATGTTCTTTGAATTATATTAAAATCAACCACGTGAATTTGAGTGAAACAATCTCCTTAATGACATCATGATTATTCTTTGTTATTGATTCTGTAATCAAAAAATACAAGTGAAATTATATATGTATATTCATGATTATTAATGACTTTTTTTAGTACTAACTTTTTTACATTTTTAGAATAGAATATAGTTGCCATTTTTTATTTTTTATTTTGGGTTCTGTGAAAAAAATAATCCATTTTTTTGTTGAGAAAGTTAGGTGTGTTTTTAATTTATTTTTTTTTCCATGATTAGTTTTTTTAATTAGAGACAAACATTTTTTAAAATTTTTTTGCTTAATTAACCAAAAAAGAACTAAAAAAGTTAACGTGACAGCTTGTTTTTGGTACACAATAACAGTTTATTAACTTATATAGACCATATCATTTTGTAATAAATAAATAAATAATCAAAAAATAAACTATATCCAAAGCAAGTCGGGGTCTAATCTCTAGACTTGGTAATAATAATAATAATTTTTTATTAGTATTTAAAGAGCGTTTAATTATCACCACTCCAAAGTACTCTTTTTTCTTTTTTTTTCCCACTTCAAAGTACTCTTTTTTCTCACTTTTTGGGGCAAGAAAAATAACCTCATTCAAATATAAAGATAGTAACAGGAGATAACAAGACTCTATTGATTCTGTAATCAAAAAATACAAGTGAAATTATATGAGCAAAGTAATTTCTTTGATAGCATCATCCTGTATGTATATTCATTATTATTAATGACTTTTTTTAGTACTAACTTTTTTACATTTTTAGAATAGAATATAGTTGCCATTTTTTTTTTTTTTTTTTTGGGTTCTGTGAAAAAAAAATCCCTTTTTTGTTGAGAAAGTTAGGTGGGTTTTTAATTTTTTTTTTTCGATGATTAGTTTTTTTTAATTAGAGACAAACACTTTTTTAAATTTTTTTGCTTAATTAACCAAAAAAGAACTAAAAAAGTTAACGTGACAGCTTGTTTTTGGTACACAATAACAGTTTATTAACTTATATAGACCATATCATTTTTTTTATTTTTTTACACATCTTTTTGTAATAAATAAATAAATAATCAAAAAATAAACTATATCCAAAGCAAGTCGGGGTCTAATCTCTAGACTTGGTAATAATAATAATAATTTTTTATTAGTATTTAAAGAGCGTTTAATTATCACCACTCCAAAGTACTCTTTTTTCTTTTTTTTTCCCACTTCAAAGTACTCTTTTTTCTCACTTTTTGGGGCAAGAAAAATAACCTCATTCAAATATAAAGATAGTAACAGGAGATAACAAGACTCTTACAGGCTAAAAACAAGGAACACAATACAGAATAGCAAAGCATCCTTCATCAAGAGGAGAATGAAAAAGCAACCTTCATATTTACAACAATATCAAACTAAAAACTAAGACAGCTAAAAAAGGGAAAGAAGGCTCCAATCCTAACTATCAACAAACATCCAGCTGAGAGGTACCAAAAACACCCACTTCGCCGTTGACCTCTGGCAATTGAACAAGCCTGCAACAAGCATCAGCTACAAGGGTCAATTACAGCAGAATGCAATGGGTAAAAATTATTGCCAAGAGGCTGGAATGCGTGAGTGAGCAGCAAACTTGGCTTAGTCAATAGGCTTGCTGCATATCCTTCCATCGGAAAAAAAAAAAAAACTCGCAGCAATGTAGACTTTGGGTTAGGAAACAAAAATTAATTAAAGAATAAAAAAGGAAAAAATAATGGAGCCAATACAGCAGTAGGATCTCTAGAACCTGAAGCTGATAATCAAATAGTAAAAGCTAAAAACACGCCTCTCTGAAGCCATACGTGCATTTCACATTCCATGTTACTGCAGATGGCATATGCATAAGTTTTACTGTGTATGCAACAAGAAGAAAAAAAAAGGAAAAAAAAAATAAAGTAAAATATAAGAACTAGATTTTCAGCAGAATGAGCCACCACAAACTACAACCCCATTGAAGTCACTCTTAAAAAAAAACACTCCTTGTACAGCCAAACCAATCACTGTTGAACCCAAATTCAGAGGTCATATTCCCATTTCCTTGTCAAAGTTTCGATACTTAAGAAGCTACAAGATGTATGTTTCGCTACTAGATCTGGTCAAAAATGATTTTAAAGGAGAGAGATTACGACATTTTAACTCCTGTGCATGTTCATGTCTGTATCCAACTGAATATGCCTATTTTGATGCCTATGTTTATTGGCAGTGTCAACAAAACTATTCATGCTATATACACATTCTACCAGTTGAATAGAATTACTTACATGGCACAACTTTAGGGGTTCTTTTGAAGCCAGAAAGTGCATGTCATACTCCATGTCACTGCAGAAGATGCATATATAACAAGAAGTTTTACTGTGTTACATGTATTAAGATGTATTGATCCATAAGCAAATTAATGTAATAGTCTAAAAACTTGATTTTAACAGAAAGCTCTATGAGAGAGGATTATCAGACTAAAGCCACGTTAAAGTTACTCTAAAAAAACAATCTCCAAGTACTGCCAAAACAATCATTGTTGAACCTAAATTCAGAGGACATATGTTCCCAGTTTCTTAATAAGCCACAAGCTATATGTTAATAAGCTACTAACAAAACCAACTTATTTAGAAAAAGAAATCAAACCACCATAAAAAAATTAAAAAAAAAAACAAGATTATTCATCTTAAAGGATGTCATGGAGCCGCTTTGAGTGAGTGCATGTCATACTCCATGTCACTGCAGATGGCCTACATATACATAACAAGAAGTTTTACTTATGCACCAAGATGAAAAGATCCTTGAGAAAATTATGTAATAATCTAACGAACTAGATTTTAACAGAAAGTTCTATGAGAAGGAGAGTTATACCAAACTATAACTACAATGGATTTGCTTTTAAAAAACACTCTCTTAGTACGGCACAAAACAATCACTGTTGAACCCAAATTCAGAGGTTATGTGCTCCCATTTCCTTGTCAATGTTTTGATAATAAGCAGTTACAAGCTATATGTTTAGCTACAAAGAACCAAACTTTTTTCTTTTTTAAAGATCATTCATGTTGATCATATAATGATTATATGATAAACATGAATGATCTTCCTTTCCCATTGGAGATCCATAATCCAAACACAATTAAAAGGATTTTGCTATTCTAATCCAAATATTAGATACATGTTTTGGACCCAATGTGTGGCAATCAAGTAGGCTGTGTTTGGTTCATAAAATTGAAGAAAAATTTTTGAAGGAAAAAGGAAAAGGTTTGTCTAAGTAAATTGCAGATATATATTTTATTCATATTACACTTTCCTTTTTCCATTCTAATCACTGCTCAAATCCTAAACTCTTATGTTGTGTTTGGTTGGGGGATTTGGGGAGGGATTTGGAAAGGGAAAGGGAAAAGGTATGTGAAACTATGTGAAATATAGGCATGATTCATTCACATTTCACCTACCTTTTCCATTTCCCTTTCCAAATCCCTCTCCAAATCCCCCAACCAAACATAGCATTAGGCTGTGTGTTTGGTTTAAGAATTCCCCCTTCTCTTCTCAAATTGCCCCTCAAATCCTCAAATCCTAAACCCTTATGTCGTATTTGGTTTAAAAATTTACGAACAGATTTAAAAAGAAAAAAATAAAAAATAAATAAAACTAGATAAAATATTAATATATTTTAATCACATTTCTCCTTTTTTTTTCTTTTTTTTTTTTTTCTCCAAATCTGCGTTAGAATACATATGACAACTCTCTCTCTCCCCTTCTCCTCGGATTATCAACCAATAGTGAACTTGTATATCATTTTTCCCATTAAAATTAAAAGAATATCACCTCTTACATAGAGTTCAGGTAAATAATTTTTGGGTAAAAAACCTTGCTATTTTTTGTTCCCAACAAAAAAAAATCCTATTTTTGTAGAAGTAAATTAAGCAACCTTTCTATTTTTGAGCAAACAAGTGACAACTATTCAACATCAAAGCTGACAATCTGTGATTTGAGAAATTAGCATCAAAACAAAGCCCTTTTGCTGATCAACCATCATCAGAGTAGATCTGCAAGATTCTTCAAAAGCAGAGATTAAATAATCATGTTTGATTGATGGTAAAGATAAAGAGAAAAAGAAAGAGAAAAAGAAAAATACCAGTTGGGAAAATTGAGGGGTTGGATATGATGAGGGTGAAGAAGCGAAAGAAGAGAAAGGAGAGAGAAGACCGAAAACAATAGGAATGGGTGGACTTGGAAAGCCATTAAATTCATTCAAAAGAGAAAAGAACGAAGCTTTCCAAGCCACCAATCCCCAAAGATTTTCGGCAAATATTCATCCCCCGTTTCTCATCACTTCCCAATTTTCTGTATCAGATCTTCTTCTTCGCCGCCTCTTCAATGGCCAATTTGCCTAACCCTAATAATTTACAGTCTCTCTCAACTCTGCTTCAAAGTCTCCTCTCATTCTCTAATAAAGGGATAAGAAGGCTCCTGTCCGGTTCAACACACGTCCGGTTCTGTCCGGTTAGATCAGTGATCACCCATTCTTCCTTAATAATTTGAAATGCTATGTGCCACAAATTCTAGTTCAAATGGTCAAAACACCGAAAACGACGTCGTTTTAGGTGGAAAACGACGTTATTTTAGCAGTTTCGAATTATTTGAATTACAAAATTTGTGACCACCAAACATTTTCTTTTGAAGAGTTACCCTTGTCCAAAATGTATTAGATTAGTATATTATTTGATTTTTTTATAAAATAAAAAATATATATAAAATATAAATTAAGGTTGAAGTGACGTGGTTCAAATAAATGGAATGTAACACAAATAAAATGATTGTAATCTTAATGTGTTAAAGGTCTTGTTTGAAAATTGATTATTTTAATAATTTTTTTACTTTTTATAAAAAGACAAATAGAATTATATGGCAATTTATAACGATTTTTTGACTAAAATATATAATTAACAAACGAGATCTAAAATACCATGCTATTTTAGCACAGGCCAAATAAGCTTATGTTTATATATATATATATATAGCTTTTTTATTGGTTTATTTTTGTTTTTCATAAATTTTTTTTTAAAAAAAATAAATTTTTAGATTCTACTCAATAGGAATAATTGGAATATTAATTTTTTTTATAAAAAAATCAGAAAAAAAAAGTATTAAAAAAATAGCCTTTTGTTGGATTATTTTGGCTTTCTCAACTTTATTTTTTGGATTTTTTTTTAAAATTTACTTTTTATATTTGTCCCGATCCAAAAAAACAAAAAAATTGAACATAATTTAGAAGGAAAAAAAAAGTCACTAATGGCAAAAAAAAAATTCAAAAAAAGCGGTGGTTTATTTGGGAGATCCCAGTGAACCCATATATATTGCTTTATTATTATTAAGAAAATGGTTGAGGTCTCAAATTTGCCTCGAAATTCATTTTATTTCATTTTATTTTATTAAAGCTGTATTAGTTTGGTTTTTTTTTTAATTTTTTTCCTCTCTTTTCTTTATAGGGGTGATTATATATAGGGGTGTGCTAAAAAATTAAACATCTTATAAGTGAGTTGGGTTAGACTGATTGGGTAATAAAATTGACTGATCAATTTTCTTTTTAATATAATTTTATTTTATTTGTTAGGCTATGTTCGTTTTTTTTTGCTTAATTTTTTTTAAAGGTAGTTATGTGTAGGGGTGTGCCAAAAAACTAGACATCTTGTACCAACTCATCGTACAAAATTATACAGAATTAACGAATTTTAATCAACAATCTGACTGATCAGTCAATTAAGTTGAACTGATTAAGTGATAAAATTGACTGATCAGTTAAGCTGTTTGTTAAATTTTGTTAATTTCATATAATTTTATATGATGAGATAGTGCGAAATGTATAATATTTTATATTAGACTTTTAAAAAAAATATATTAATACACATAGCAGCTGAAAAAAAAATAAAAAAATACGGCATTCGAGCCAAATTAAAAACAACGGCATTCGAGCCAAATTCGAGGCCTCTATCACTACTGTTATTATTATTATCACTTTGTCACACTTATTTATGAACTTATACAAATATAACTCGTTATTTTTCTTTTTATTTATTTATTTATTTTTGAATGACAAAATTTCTGACGTGATTGTATTTGTTGAAACTCGATTTTAATATATATTGTTTAAGAGAGTATTGATTGGGTAAGGTCAAATATAGTGGAAGGTAAATAAAAACTATCAAGTTTATAATAAAGTATAAAATTGTATTACTAAAATAATTGAGTTTAAAAATAAGAATTCACGAGTAAAACTCGAAAAATTTGATCCATTGTTATCCCTACTCTTTTGAAGGAGGCTTGAAATGAATGAAAGTGATATATTTTTATATGAGAGTATTAAAATTTATGGATTCCTAGATGACAAAATAAGTTAATATTCGCTAATAGTGAAATGGGTCTTAATATAATTAACCCTAATTTAAATCATTCAATTCATATATTTTATGATTTTTCTTTGATTATATAATAATCATATTCAGGCTAATTAATTAATTATATTTATTTTTAAAAATTAAGCAAAAATATTATTTGAAAAATAGTTTTTTAAAATATATTTGTTAAAATTATGTGAATGATTAGGGAAATTTATCTAAAACTCCTTGTAGGAGCTCAAAAAATATCAGCTTATAGGGGGTAACCCAAACAAGTCTTGACAATGGGCCCAGCCCAAACAAAGAAGTCCATGGGACAAATATCACACCCCCCATCTATAAAAAGAGAGATCTCAAGAAATAGAGGTATATCTCATCTCTCTGCAACAGAGCATATACAACACCCTTCATTTATGCATCTCTTTCCTTAATTCAAGTGACTAACTTTATCTCCTTAATTCAAGTGACTAACTTTATCATCGGAGTATCCTTGGCCGGGAACCCCGGTTGGGCAGCACTGACTATATTCATCTTTGCAAATCTACAGAAGTTTAACTCACCTCTTCATTAGATATCATCAACAATCCATGTGAGAGGATTTTGGGTCTCACACTCCTGTTTAAGAGACATGTAAATCCAAAAGTCCTATACAATTTCTTATATCCACAAAAATCTTATTGACTTGGGAAGTTATTCTATAAGATATTTTTAGAATAATTATTTTTATTTTTTTGACTATTATATCCTTATTCCTTATTCATAATCCGATACATTAAGGATTTGGGTTTCAGTTTATTTCGTTGTGTGTTTTTTTATTTGGAAATATCAAGCACCCAACTCACTTTTTATTTGGAAATGTCAAGCACCCAACTTACTTTAAAAATTTTTTTGTTGTTGTTTGTCTCATAACTCGCGGAATTCAACATTTTCAAATTTTGAAGCATCAAATATGAAGGTTGAAGGGTATCCATTATACATTGTGATTGATAGGGTTCCCATTAACATTAATACAAATGTTCACATTATTTTCATAAATATTCACATCAATTTTAAATTCTTTAATAACGTTTTTTGTATCATGAATAAATGTAAGTACTTATCCTTATTGAGAGGGTAATTTGTAAGCAAATTGGGCCGAGTTAGAAAAGTCTTCTTTGGAAGTTGGGCCGTGCAATGAGCCGAGATAAGGGCTGGTGTAGCTCAGTCTTACGCCAAGAAGACATCTCATATTACAGATTTGGGCCGAACTATGGGCCGAAGTGTTTGGGCTTCGCAAATTGGACCTCGTCCTTGTTAGTTCGGTCGAAGACTGCTGCAGTTAGCTCGGTCTAAACAGACAAAATCGAGGTATCAGTGGGGGGAGAACCGAGCTAAAGGATACCTTTGCAGGGCGTCATCTCAGAGTCAAGACTGACAGTGGTGCTTAAAGTATCACCGAGCCGAAATAACTTGGTTGACCGCAATATCAGCCGAGGTAAAGATGTCAGCCGAGGTAAAGGAGGTAAAATCAATAGCGAGGACCGAGCTGTGTATAGCTCGGCAGAGTGACATTCGATAGATTGGCTTTCGATCACACGGTCCGAATGGCAGGGGATCGAGATAAGGCAGTTCGATCAGAAATGTATAACCGAGGTAAAGGGTTCAGCCATCTCACTTGGCTTGCAGTGATGAGACTCTTAGTAGGACTCTACTAAGGAGAGTTAGAGTCCTACTGGGATTGTGCAAACCATCTCACTTGGTTGGTAGTGAGTAGGAGTATGACTCCTAGGAGGACTCTGCTAAGGAGAGTAGAGTCCTACTAGGATTGTGCAAAACCATCTCACTTGGTTGGTAGTGAGTAGGGTGTGTGATTCTTAAGAGGACTCTCATAGGGAGAGTTGGAATCCTACTAGGATTGTGCCAAAGTAAAGTCTATAAAAGCTTATGACGAGACCTATGGACAGGTATCCAAATTATTACTGTAGAATACACAGAACTTATTGTCTATTGTCTAGTTGTTGACTTAGGCATCGGAGGGGTTTTCAACACATACCTGCCGGTTAGCTCACGTTTGTGTTTTCAGGTGGCAAAGCAACATTATTTGGAGGAGTGCAAACTTGATCAATAGGATCATACGAAAAGAATTATTTCGTGCTCGTACACTTATGTACACATTTTTCACGTGCCCTACAATGTGAAAATCAATTACACATCAACATTTCACATTCACCATTTTGTGAATCATACCATACAACAACCATAGAAAAGGGGTTCCGACGTTAACATGAATATGTGCAACCCATCACTAAAAAAAGGATTACGTAATCATTAACAATACCAAAATAACACATACAATCAAAATTTGTAAGCCATCTTATTATGCATCTAATACAACAATCATACGAAGATTTTCCCAAATCAGAATTTGACACCATATAAACCAAATGTGACAACTAGGCAAACACTTAGCTGGACTCCCCCCATCTCCTCACTCATAAAGCCTCTATTTCACATTGAACATTACACATGTTTTTGAAACCCTAGAACAGATATCATACCAACATTTGGTAACAACAAGTGACAATACTTAAGTTTATGATTCATGATGACGGTGGATAAAACATATGGATTTTCTAATTCCGAATGTGACAATGCAGACTAATATGAAAAGGATGGGTTTCTAATTTGAAATATGATTCGCATCAACAGAAAAGAAGTATAATCTCACTGATTCTAATTATGTGATGCTTTATGTAGGATTATTCTCTTTCTTTTGTATATGGTAATGCTTAGTTTGGGGATTCTTTCAATTGCATCCAAGTAGAGGATATAATATTCTCTTAGTAAACCTTGAGTAAATGTGTTATTTCATGCCAAATATGAAAGAAACTAAATAGTTCATACAATAGGCATATAGGCCTCGTTTGTTTTGGGGTGTAGAGGGTGTGATGGGATTAGGATAGAGGTGGAGCTCATTTAGTATTGTGTTTGTTTGTAGAGTTGGGAAAGAGATTAGGATGAAAGAGGGGATTAAGATGGAGGTTGAAAGGGGGATTGAGATGGAGGAGGTGGAGGTGGAGATGGTATTAGAAAAATAGTGGAAAGACTAGAAATTTTTTTATTTTTTACGTGATGGGCATTTTTTTTTGAACATTAATATTTAATTTTTTATATATTTTTATTTTTTTATTATTTTATATAAAAATAATTTAACAATTCCTATTTTTTATTTGTTTTATTATTTTATATAAAAATAATTTAACAATTCCTACACTAACAACCATCATCAAAACAAACATAATTTTACTTAATCCCCTCACTATCAATTCCCTCACTATAAATCATCTCCATTCTACCTTTGAAAACAAACGGGGCCATAAAATTTACAAGATTTATCAGTAAATGTCATTTATGATTATTAAATTAATTTAACTTTTTAAATAAATAATTTACATTAAAAAAATAAGAATGTTACCTCCCACTAATTTACCCCTCTAATGAGGTGGCATTAAAGTTATACTTTACATGATAAAATATTTAATAAATTAAAATTTAACACTTATCAAACACATCATGAGAATTAATTTTAAAAATTGATAAATTAGATATTTCAAGTATTTTTTAAATAAAAAAATCAAAAAATGTATATAGGCCTATTTTAGGAAGTGGGTTAAAAACCACTTCCTAACTTTTACCTCACTTCCTCTCTTAAAAAAAAAAAAAAAAAAAAAAAAAAAAAAAAAAAAAAAAAAAAAAAAAAAAAAAAAAAAAAAAAAAAAATAATTTTAAAAAATTTTTCAAAACAAAAAAAAAAGTCAAAAAAATTAAAAAATTAATTTTTAACTATATTTCCAAAACACCTCCTGGTATGGACAACACCTCCCTCTTAAGGAAAATTATTTAATATTCCAGTATTGGTTTAAGTAGTAACACTTGTCCCTTTTAGATTTATTTTGAATTACAATAGGACTTTGAAATATTATTTCAGACCATCATATAACCATTCTTCTGTAGGATTGTTGAACTGATCATGTTAATTGAGTTTGATTTGTGTTGGACTTATTAAAAATATATTTGAGATTAATTTTTTAGGTAAACAAGTTAAGTTAGAAAAATTTAAATTTTTTAAAATTTTAAATTAAATTTAAACAATTTACTAATCAATTTGATAAACTTATTTGAACTATAAAAAATTCAACTATTAAAATTCAACTCGTTAAGAATTTATTTGAGATTCACTAATTATGTAAATAAATATAATTTTAAGCCCCGGTTTGTTTTCCTTCTAAGTTAAAAAATCACAAAATGATACAAAAAAAAAATCAAAAAAGTTAAAAAGTCAAAAATCACAAAAGGATAAAAAAATATTTGTCATTCCAAAGTCAAAAAGTCAAAAAATTCAAATAAAAAAATCAAACAAATAAAAAAGTCTCAAGCTAAAAAAATTAAAAAATTAACTTTAAAAAATCATTATCAAACGATCCCTAAATTGATTAGGTTAACAACTTACTCGACTTGAGTCAAATCAACTCACCCAAAATCAACCGGAGAGAACCACACACCTGTCTCCTAATAATGATTCAGACTCCCACAAAATATCACCTTCATAATACTTATCCACTTGTGATGGGTCCATGTAAAAAAAAGAGAAAAAGAATAAAAATAAAAATAAAAAAACATTACAATACAAACAAATAAGTAGTTCACATTAGAGTGATGGGGATCTCCCAACAGGGTCCCAAACATCATTGCCTGTCCACCTATATATCTCTGTCCAAAAGAGAACCCTGTTGCCTTTGTTGACCCACAACAGTGGTGGTATTGTTTATGACAAATTGATAATACAACTTTAATGCAGTTAGTAAATACTTTTTGATCACGTTTAGTGAATTAAATTACATGAAATTGTTAATGAGAAAATAATTAATGAAGAGATTTATATAAAAATTATTAGTAAAGAAATTAACTAAAAGTGTGTTTGCTATGACGATAATATAAGAGATGATTAGTAATGAGATTGTTAAATTATTTTTTATATAAAATAAAAAAAAAATTATTCTTATATTAAAAAAATTAAAACTAATATTAAAACAAACTGCTGCACGTAGTAAAAAAAAATTATATAAAATAAACTCAATTTATTCACTATTTTCTTAATTTCATCCAAAATTCAGCTAAGTTAATCCCAAGCAAGCTATAGATAAGACCCACAACCATAGCACTCCAATCTCCCCGCTCAGGCCGATAAACAAGAGTGATGCTATTAGCACCTCATAAATCATTTTAGACCCCCTATTTCTTTGGACCCCCACTTATAAATTTTGAAACCCTTAAAATTTCTTTTTACTCCCTACTAATACCAAAATTATCCTCACACATTCCATCCATTGAACACTCCCGCATCCCCAAAATTATCTCTCATTCACAAAGTTTCATATCTCTATGCCTCCTCTCATTCTAATTTCTTTTCATTTTCGCTCATCCTCTCTCTACTTCCTCCATAATTTTCCACAGACGTCAATCCTCCATCAACTCAAATCCCATGAAAACCTACACATTTGAAAGGCGTTAACAATGCTGTTGACAAAAGAGATAGGTAAGATATCCTCACCTGTTGTGCATTCGAAACTTGTTCTCCAACCATCAAATGAAACACTTCATGTATGAGAGACAATGGCGGTGCTATGGATGAGAAGTCTTGGTGACTTAATAAGCTGCTCCCTTTTCTTGTTTATTTGTAAATTTAATTTTGTTGTTTCTTAATAAGCTCTTTCTCATACATGAAGTGTTTCTTAATAAAGTGTTGCTTCTTTAAAACTGAAATTTTGACTTCTGGGAGTGTCAAGATTTTTAACCTTTCAAAGTGTTAACAAATTTCCATGTTCAGCCTTGCATTTTCGAACAAATAAGCTATGTTTGAAAATATATTCCTGAATAAATAAGTAATGTTCGGGCCTTTATACATATGCATGACATGAATTATGATGGGGTTAATACCAAATGAGTTAAGTCTTGCGTAAGCAGTTTAAGCGAACCCCTGGGTTGACCTGGATGTATTCAGACTCTATGCGGCGGTTTCAGGGTGTAAGCGAGCCCTTTGGTATGGTATGTGCAGGGTGTAAGCGAGCCCTTTGGTATGGTATGTGCAGGGTGTGTAAGCGAGCCCGAGGCACGATTTAGGTGTAAGCGAGCCCGCTTGTTGGCCGTCCCTTTTGAGGTCCATCAATGCCACTGACAGGTAAATAATCGGAAGGTGGGCATAGGTGGTAAGGTCTGCAAAGCAGCAAAAGAGGGAGTTCTGAATAGTCTGGTGTTCAATCCTTGTGGTTGGGTAGAAGGATCTCTTTGGGGGGTCCTAAATGCCTAGTCTAACTACTGATTTATAAAACCTTAATGTAAGTATGTTATGTTACTTGATTTGTTTTGTGTGTGATTGATTGATAGAAGATATGTGGGTGTGTGTGTTTTTACTGGGCATTCCAAGCTCATGGCGTGTCATGCCAGGTGAAAAAGCAGCTTACGACGGGGAAGGGTATCCCGAAGACAATCAAGATGAAGTTTTAGAGCCGTGGTTCACTTGAAAATTTAGACTAGTAGTTTGTTTTTGTGTTCTCTCTTCTTTTACCTTTTGGTTTGACAATATTTGTAAACCTCTAGTGGAACTCAAATCAGTTATCCATGTTATAACTCCGCTTGTATGTGTATATTAACGTATTGTGGTTATCTATTTTGTTTGAGTTGTACTTTATATATTACTCTTGCGGTCTCAAATTTTGGGGCGTGACAAATTAATATCAGAGCCCTAGGTTCAACCCTTAACCCACGCGTGTTAACTCGTGATTTTAGATATCCTTGCCTTTCACATTACTATTTTCTGTTACCATTATACTATATCATATTAAGGGTGGACTAAAAAAAAAAATTTTTTTGTTTACCTACCATAGGATGGATTCTACATCAGAAAGCGTTGATAACTGGGGAGTTTTTCGGTTCTAGAACAGATGGGCAGTAGCTGTTAGCCCACAAAGGCTTAACCGACGGTGTCAGTTAGGGGCGGAGTGCGTGATAAAGAAAGCTATTCGGAAAACAGAAGAGGATTTTTCATACTACACTATGCAAGCAAGACGAGCGTTGGTACATCGACGCCTCCAGTGCAAATACAAGGAGCTTAGGTTTGCTCTTTAGATAGAGCGGAATGATCAGAGTTTTGCTGAGCTTAGGCAAGAGGTATTGACTGAGGATCCGCGTCCAGTGATGCGTCGCGTTGGACCCGAGAGCTGTGGCTCTCATCATCCTGAGTTAGAGGTTCCGTTTGTCTCAGTACTTCCTGGAGCTTCCCCTGCATTCCCTATAGAGGTGTCGTCAGAGTACACCCCTACACCGGCTCAGCAGTTTCCGGCCTCCCCGACATATGCTCCTTTACCACCAGAGGATCCCGAGGAAGATCCCAAAGAAGACCCAGAGGAATCATTTGACTTAGGATTGTAGTAGTTGTGGGACGAACCCTTTTGTGTACCTTTGTAAATAGTGTTTTGTGTGGTTCAAGCGTGTTTTGTTTTGGTGTATACACGCTACACGCTAACCTATATAGTGTATCCTTTTGTAAGAAGAAGTTATATGCGTATATATAAAATATCTAGTTGGTTAATCTAGTGTGTTGTATGTATTTTATTTTATTTTGCTTGGTTTAATTGCATCATCCATTTAGAAAAATACATAAATTTCATACACCTCGGACCACATTAAATTAGACTATTTATTGAACGCCTCTTCGCCTTCACAACAACCCTAAGCTTATATTACCCACAAACTTGGCAGATGGCGGACAATGTGGAAGCAAACGATCAAGTCAGATGCCGACGAGGACGTCCAGCTCGCAATCAAGGCGCTAATTGCGGTAGACCTATACCTGCGGAGGAGTTGCCAAGACCAGTCGGAAACCAGATTCTTGAAGAGTTATGAAGGCTTAGAAGAACACAACCAAATGAACGGATATATTTGTTATCTGAGTTCAGAAAGCAAAGACCGCCGGTGTTCACAGGTGAGCCTGACCCGAGAGTCGCTGAGAGTTGGATTCGTCAAATAGAAAAGATGTTGGAAACCATGGGTATTACTGTGCATACAGACAAGATCGCCCTGGCAAGTTATCAGCTAGAAAGAGAAGCGGATCATTGGTAGTCCTTGATGAAAAATTCTCGGGACACGACAAGCATGACTTGGGCTCAGTTCAAAGAATTGTTTCTAAGAAAATATTTCCCAAACACAGTTAGACAAGAGCGGATTTGGCAATTTCAAACTTGGAAACAGGGTGAGATGTCAATGACTCAGTATGTAGCCAAGTTTGAAGAGCTAACGCGATACGCAGCCCAATACGTCGCAGATGAGGGAGAGAAAGCACGAAAATTCGAGTGAGGTTTAGACCCTATTATTAGAGGTAAAGTGTTACCCTTGCGCCTCCCTACTTTTGCTGATGTGGTGGATACAACATTGGATGCAGAAAGAGAGTGGGTAAGCTCAAAAAGGATTTAGATGATGAAAACGAAGAAAGGGGGTCAGTCCTTTGTAGGGCCAAGAAGAAATGACCGAAGGAATGTGGTACGGACACCATACATCAGACCGTTGCAACAGCTGCAACAACAAAGCCAGAAAGGAAGTTTACAAACCAAGCCTATTACACAAATCCAATGTTTTCACTGTCACCAAATAGGGCACAAGAAGTCAGAATGTCCCCAACTTTCTGGGATGGGAAATCAAGCAGGGGATTCAAGCACGAATGCTCAAGTTATTGGCGGGCAAAGGCCATGGACGAACAAGTCAGGAGGAAACCGAAAGGTTAGACCAACCGGTAATCAAAAAGGCACAGGCAGAGTTTTTGCCCTCCAAGAGGAAGGTAATGAAGATCCATCAGTAATTAGAGGTAACCTTGTACTCTATAATTCCTGGGTTCACGTTCTATTCGATTCTGGCGCATCACATTCTTTTATATCAACCTCATGTGTTAAATCATTAGGTCTTAGATGTGAACCTTTAGAAACTATTTTACGTGTTGCATCACCCTTGGGAGGAAGTACTAGGGTAGGATTAATCTGTCGAGGGTGTAAATTAGAAGTGTCAGGGTTACACTTGAGTTGTGACCTTCGGGTCATAAACATGTCCGATTTTGACATAATCTTGGGAATGGATTGGTTATCCGCCCACCAAGCAGTGATTGATTGCTACTGCAAGAGGGTGACGGTTTGCACACCTAGTGGAACGTGTTTCCAATTTAAGGGGGATAGAGAGGATTCCCTGAGCACAACAAATCGTAAAATGCAGTGGCATCGACAATTTGCTGGATGGTTAGCAAGTTTGATCATTAATGAAGAAGCTCAATCAGAATTAAATCTTCCGCGTGTAGTTTGTGAATACGCTGATGTTTTTCCTGAGGAGTTGCCAGGATTACCGCCACATCGTGAAGTAGATTTTAGTATCGAGTTACAAGCGGGTACTGCACCAATATCCCTGACACCCCACCGTATGGCTCCTGTTGAACTTCAGGAATTGAAGACGCAACTGCAGGAATTACTGGACAAGGGATTTATCCGACCAAGTACCTCACCATGGGGCGCACCAGTTCTATTTGCAAAGAAAAAGGACGGAACACTAAGATTGTGCATAGATTATCGGCAACTCAATCGGGTGACGATCAAGAATCGATATCCACTTCCACGAATTAATGACCTTTTTGACCAACTTCGAGGTTCAAAGTGTTATTCAAAGATTGATCTTAGATCTGGCTATCATCAATTGTGGGTCACTGATGATGACATACCAAAAACTGCTTTCCGAACCCGATATGGCCATTACGAATTTGTGGTAATGCCCTTTGGATTAACCAATGCACCAGCCGTGTTTATGAGCTTAATGAATAAGATTTTTACTCCGTACTTGGACCAGTTCGTGGTGGTGTTTATTGACGATATTCTATTCTATTCACCGTCGGAAGAGGAACATGAGCAACACTTGAGAGTAGTTCTCCAAGTTTTAAGAAACAACCAGCTGTACGCAAAAGCAAGTAAATGCGAGTTCTGGTTGAAGGAAGTCATATTTTTGGGACACGTCGTGTCGGAGCATGGAATCGCTGTAGACCCGGCCAAGGTGGAAGCAGTATTAGATTGGAAACAGCCAACCTCAGTATTTGAAGTTCGTAGTTTCTTAGGGTTGGCCGGCTATTACCGACGGTTTATTCAAGACTTTTCTAAACTAGCTAAGCCGATGACTCGTCTAACGCAAAAAGGGGTAAAATACGATTGGAACGAAGCTTGTGAACAATCCTTTCAAGAACTCAAGAGGAGATTGACTAGTGCCCCAATACTCATCATTCCGGAGCGAGACATAGGATATACGGTATATTGCGACGCGTCCAAGGATGGGCTAGGCTGTGTGCTAATGCAAAAAGGAAAAGTGGTAGCTTACGGCTCCAGGGAACTGAAACCGCATGAAAAGAATTATCTGACACACGATCTAGACTTGGCAGCAATGGTTTTTGCATTAAAGCAGTGGCGTCATTATTTGTATGGTGAACAATTTGAGATTTTCACGGACCATAAGAGCTTGAAATATTTGTTCACGCAGAAGGACTTGAACATGAGACAAAAGACGGTGACTAGAATACCTCGAAGATTACCATTTTACTCTATCCTATCATCCTGGCAAAGCTAACGTGGTGGCGGATGCCCTGAGGCGCAAGAACCGAGGAATTATTGCTAGCTTGGCACTCAAGGAATGGAACATGGTCGGAACACTTAATGAGTTTGGAGTACAGATGAAAGCTCAGGACGAGAAGGTATACCTTGGCGCTCAAATCGCTACACCCAAATTACTGAACGAGGTAATAGAGTCACAGAAGTATGATCAAGAGGTGGCGTTCATAAAAACGCGAATAACATCCGGCGATCCTATACCTGATTGGACGATTCATTTAGATGGAAGTTTGAGACATCAGGGTAGAGTGTTAGTACCACAAGATGAGTCACTTAGAGAAAAATTTTTAAAGGCGTTCCACCATTCAGTGTTCGCAGTGCACCCAGGAGGGACGAAAATGTACCAAAACTTAAAACGTCAATATTGGTGGAGGGGAATAAAGAAAGATATGGCTCAATTCATAGCCAGATGCCTTATGTGTCAGCAAGTAAAGGCAGAACACCAGCGACCTGGAGGGATGCTTCAGCCCTTGCCGATATCAGAATGGAAATGGGAGCATGTAACAATGGACTTCGTCACTGGATTTCGTCACTGGACTACCCAGGTCACCGAGAGGATATGATGCTATATGGGTTATAGTTGATCGTTTGACGAAAACTGCGCACTTTTTGCCATATAAAATCTCCGACACTTTGACATCGCTGAGTCATCTCTACATTAAGGAAATTATCCGATTACACAGAATTCCTGTATCAATTGTGTCCGACCAGGACCCGCGTTTCACCTCCCGATTCTGGGGAAGCTTACAGGAAGCGTTAGGGACCGAATTATGTTTCAGTACCGCATTTCATCCTCAAACTGACGGACAGTCGGAACGTACCATTCAAACTTTGGAGGACAAGTTAAGAGCTTATGTGATGGATTTTAAAGGGAGCTGGGAGCGACACCTACCGCTGGTGGAGTTCACATACAACAATAGTTTCCAGGCTAGTATTGGCATGGCTCTATTCGAAGCACTGTATGGTCGGCCTTGCAGATCACCAGTTTGTTGGACTGAAGTTGGAGAAGTGAGTCTATTGGGCCCAGAAATCGTGCAAGAAACTACAAAAAAGGTGAAACTTATTCGACAAAGATTAGTGGCAGCTCAAGATCGTCAGAAGAGTTATGCAGATAAAAGGAGAAGACCGCTAACCTTCGCTACCAGTGATTATGTTTTCCTGAAAATTCAGCCCCGCCGAGGGATTATTCGTTTTGGAAAGAAAGGAAAATTATCACCTCGATATATTGGACCCTTCGAGATACTTCAGAAAATCGGAGAGGTTGCGTACAAGGTGGCTTTACCCCCACAGTTGGCTGGAGTACATGATGTTTTCCATGTATCTATGCTGCGGAAGTACATAATGCACCCTTCTCACATCATCAACTGGGAAGAAATCCAACTCAATGAGGACGCTACCTTTGAAGAGGGACCTGTAGCAATTATAGACAGACAAGAAAAGAACTTGCGAGGGAAGACAATTCCCCTTCTTAAGATACTCTGGCGTCACCATGGTATTGAAGAGTTCACCTGGGAACGTGAAGATGCGATGCGGGCAAATTATCTATAACTATTTGGGACGTAAGGTACGATCTAATTTCGAGGACAAAATTTATTTAAGGGGGATAGGTTGTAGAGACCCTAAATTTTTTTAATTACACTTGAAACCTTGAGCCTTAGGTTAATAGCATTTTAACCCTAGTTCCGTAAAAATCTGTGTAAGGGCACAAGTAAAGAATAATTTCTCCGTGTGTTACCATAATTAAATCATAGAACACCACTTTATGATTGGAACTATCCTAAAACTTGGTTTTATTTATTTACCTCATAATTTCTAAATTAATTCACACATTTTATTCTTATTTCTAAATTTTTTTTATTATTATTATTGTTCTTTCATTAATTATTTATTTGAATGGAATATTATTGTGTACTTGAATATATACATAGTTTATATATATATATATATAATATTGGGGGAAGAGAGAAAGAAAAAAATAAAATAAATAAATAAATAAATATCTAGATATTTAGTCCCTTAGCCATTAAGCTACCTATATTATATAAATTGAGAGTTGGTCCCAATCCACACCCACGTTTTTCATCAGCTCATGGAGAGGGTGAGAGAGGGAGAGTTTGCTCAAGGGAAGTCAAGGGGAGTAGAGAAGTGAGAAGAAGAAGAAGAAAAAAAAAGACTTCTTGAAGGTAAAAATACACCTCTCCCTTGTCTTCTCAAATTTTTTTTTTCTTTACCCATCTCATCCTATTGTCTAGATGCTCCCTTGGGTTATGTATTAATGGTAAATTGAGTTTTTGGTGTGTATGCATGTGTGGGTGTGAATTGGTGACATTGTCTTACAATTTTATTCAAAATATGCACTGCTACAATTTCTAATATTTAAAAGAAATATCAAACCTGTTTATTTCTCAAATCTAAATTTATTGTAAGGTAATTGGTGTGTATAGAGCTTGTGACAATTTTATTAGCCCCTAATTGTGTGTTTTTAGGGCTTGGATAATTTGTTAAAAAATCTGGTCCTGAATCTCTGAAAAACAGTCCACTTTTAGTAATTTTATAAAATTCTAGAAAAATCATCTCGGGTTGGTTCTTTTGTCAAAATTTAGAAATCTGAGTCCTCTTTCCAACAGATTTTATTTGAGTGAAAACCATAGGGTAGATTGAGAGAAACGCTAGTTTTCCCAATGGGTGACAAATCTGGACATGTTTTTGAATATAGCTTGTGGATGAATTTCTGGAGGTGCTATGCACATTCTGTGAATTGGAATTGAAACTAGACAGGTTAATTATTATTTCTGTGCAATTTCAACCTCATAAATCATTTTAGACCCCCTATTTCTTTGGACCCCCACTTATAAATTTTGAAACCCTTAAAATTTCTTTTTACCCCCTACTAATACCAAAATTATCCTCACACATTCCATCCATTGAACACTCCCGCATCCCCAAAATTATCTCTCATTTACAAAGTTTCATATCTCTATGCCTCCTCTCATTCTAATTTCTTTTCATTTTCGCTCATCCCCTCTCCACTTCCTCCATAATTTTCCACAGACGTCAATCCTCCATCAACTCAAATCCCATGAAAACCCACACATTTGAAAGGCGTTAACAGTGCTGTTGACAAAAGAGATAGGTAAGATATCCTCACCTGTTGTGCATTCGAAACTTGTTCTCCAACCATCAAATGAAACACTTCATGTATGAGAGACAATGGCGGTGCTATGGATGAGAAGTCTTGGTGACTTAATAAGCTGCTCCCTTTTCTTGTTTATTTGTAAATTTAATTTTGTTGTTTCTTAATAAGCTCTTTCTCATACATGAAGTGTTTCTTAATAAAGTGTTGCTTCTTTAAAACTGAAATTTTGACTTCTGGGAGTGTCAAGATTTTTAACCTTTCAAAGTGTTAACAAATTTCCATGTTCAGCCTTGCATTTTCGAACAAATAAGCTATGTTTGAAAATATATTCCTGAATAAATAAGTAATGTTCGGGCCTGTATTCCCGAATTTGGAAAAAGAATTTTAACCATTCAAAGTGTTAACAAATTTTCATATTCGGACCTGCATTCCCGAACAAATAAGCTATGTTCGGAAATGTATTCCTGAATAAATAAGTAATGTTCAGGCATGTATTTCCGAATTTGAAAAAATAAAAACTTCTGGAAGTGTCAAGAATTTTAACCATTGAAATTGTTAGCAAATTTCCATGTTCGAATTTGGGGAAGATGGATGGGTGACGATGGAGGTGAGTGCTCTCATAAATCTTAATTTATCATGTAGTGGGTGTATAGGTTTAATTGTGAGTGGGGTGTCCCAAAATTAATAATAGCCTTTGTAGTAATTTTATTTGAGATTATTATTATAATTAAAAAAAAACTAAAAATTAGGAGTCCAAAATAATTCATGGGGTGCTAATAACAGCATTCATAAACAAACATGGTCTTTCGGTGGCCAAATGTCATATTAGCCCATCCCACTAGTCCAACTTTTATCAAGCCCATTTTCATTCAATTATTTTTCCTTGGGTTATTTGTTTATATTGTATTTGAATTATAAATTTAAAGAAAAATTTAGGTAAATTATAAATAAAATATAAGTATATTTCACTCATATTTTTTTATATATTTTAAATCTTTACTTAAATTGATGATCCAAACATAATCTTAGAAAAAAATTTCAAATTCCTAATAACTTGAAATATATATATATATTTTTTAATTTCAGGTAAAAATTTTCCATAAACAAACATGGTCTTTGGGTGGCCAAATGTCATATTAGCCCATCCCACCAGTCCAACTTTTATCAAGCCCATTTTCATTCAATTATTTTTCCTTGGGTTATTTGTTTATATTGTATTTGAATTATAAATTTAAAGAAAAATTTAGGTAAATTATAAATAAAATATAAGTATATTTCACTCATATTTTTTTATATATTTTAAATCTTTACTTAAATTGATGATCCAAACATAATCTTAGAAAAAAATTTCAAATTCCTAATAACTTGAAATATATATATATATTTTTTAATTTCAGGTAAAAATTTTCAAAATCTTCGCTTTTTAATTTTTTTTTTATATACATTCTAGGCGCCTCTTGATTTTTAAATATGAAACTTTTTTTAATTTTTAATTTTCAAGTGTTTTTATTTAATTTTTAATTTTCAAGTGTTTTTATTAAGCAACGGTGCTAGGGACCCCAGTGGGGGCACCCCCAGTTTTTTTTCATTGGTCTAGAATTTTTTTTTTTTTTTTTTTCTTTCTTTCCAATCACCCACAGCCACGTGAGCTGGGGGTCACTGGGGTCCGGCGGGACTGGGAGTCTGGCGCATTAATCTTTTATTAAGAGAGAGAGAGAGAGAAGTTTTTGAAGTAAAGACTGAGGGTAAGGGACAGGAACAGAAAATAAAGTAAACCAAGCACCAATATGTAAAATTTCCCGTACATTGATTGTGACGAAATTGAAGGGGGGTCATTTTCGCCATTCAAAGCTACAGTTTGGCCTATAAGTTAGGTTTGAATTGAGATTAAAAAATATATAAAAAATAAAATAAATTAATAAAATAAAATATCACATTTATATTATAATAATTTTTTTTCATAAAATCAAAAAAATTTTAAAAATTCAAAATGTTCTTTTTAAACTAAACTAATTTAGCCAAAAAAGTTAGACTACAAAAATTATTCTCAAACAAGTCCAAAATCAATTCCATCACTAATGTCCTTCAATGTACAAAAAAAAAATCACTGATGTCCTTTTTCTTTGTTTCACAATCTGAACATATGATTAATTAATCTTACATTTTAAATGCAATTATTTGTTTATGTCATTTTAATAGTAGTTACGTTATCATAATAGGACTGAAATCTATACATAATAGATAACTGGTATATTACTAGTCGATGATATCACAAATATACAATGACATATTGTCACAGTTGTACTTAATTCTTCTCCCCAAAAAAAGACATCACTTTTACATTGTTGATTTGGCATCTTATTATATGATGCCACTTGAAATATACATGACATATTTTGAAATATACCACTAAACAATATTTTTGTGGCATTTTTCACTACAATGCCACCAGACAAACTTTGAATCTATGTATGTGATTCTCAGCAATCGGAAGATTTAGGGATGGTTTGGTGATTTTGATCATTTGAAAGTCAAGAAAGAATATTTTTAATTTTTAATTTAAAATAAATTGTACCAAAACGGTATAATTTTTCATGGCCAATTTGTCCGTGGGCCGGCCTACCTTTTTGCCAATTTAACAACCACCATACAATACAATTGAGATTATGGACCACTCAATAGACCAAGCGAACAATATTAATTGGAAACTTGTAGCTAGTCACTTTCAAGGGCTCTAGATAGGGCACCATTATACTTTTTCTATTGTTTTAAAAAAATACTTATAAGTTGATTTTCATTTATTATAAAAAAAAAAAATCAAAAGTAAAGATAATGCGATTTAAATAAGTTAATAAATTAGTTTGCAATAATGATTTAGACCACTAATTTTGGTACTCTAATGGAGCACTAATGACATGGTAATGAACAAAAAAAATAAAATCAAAACAAATCAAAACCAAAACATCACATCCTGTGGGTGGAGCCCACTGCCAACTCATTAGAACTACATTTAGGCCCCGTTTGTTTTGGGGTATGAGAAGGGGATTGGGATTAGGACAGCTATGGGTCCCATTTAATGTGTTGTTTGTTTACAGAGTTGAGAAAGGGACTGCTAAGCCGAAGGGCTTAGGATAGACCTTGCAGACGGGATTCGGATGGACCTCCAGAACTTGGTATTAGAAAAATAGTCTGGTGGACTAGAAATTTTTAATTTATTTTTGTATTTTTTGTTAAGTAAAAATCATTATTTTATTTATTTTATTTTTTCTGAAAATTTTATTTTATTTTTATTTTTTTAAATTTTTTTACATGCTAGGTATTTTTTTTAAAACATTAATGTTTAATGTTTTTGTATTTTTTGTATTTTTTTATATTTATTTTATATATAAATAATTTAACAATCCCTACACTAACAACTATCATCAAAACAAATACAATTTTACTTAATCCCTCCACTATCAATCCCCTCACTAATAATTCTCTCACTATTAATCTCTTCATTAATAATCTCCTCCATTCTACTTCTAAAAATAAACGAGATCTTAAAGTTCAAAAATTAAAGCTAAACAGCATTTTTCATTAGTTCATAAGTTTGTTCCCAAGCGTACTCTTTGCAAGATGAAAAAGGGCTAAATTAAAAAATGATGAAAGTGGTAAAAATAAATAATAAAAAACGTGAAACACTTTTACTTTTTTTAATTTTTTTTATTGAATTTAAAACCTTCTTAATATTTTATATATTTTTGAAACACTTTTCACAGTAATTCTAATGTTAAACAATATCCAAAAGCATTCAAAATCTTTTGCATTTATGAAACAAGGCGGCCACGTAATTTTCACTTGTCTTTGCTTTTGTTCCTGCGTAATGCTAAAGTTTGTAAAAGTTTTACTAAAATTTTTATCAAATATTTTATATGGGTGTGAGAGTTTCAGTGAGTCCCACGTCTTAAGACATTTGATAAAAATTTTAGTTATACTTTTAGAATCTCTAACATTTTTGTATGTTCTTTAGACCAAATTTTGTGTATTTTATTATTATTATTATTTATTTTAGGACAAATTACACTTACTTATTCTGAGGTTTGACTTAGTTACAAATACTTCTCTTGTGATTTCAAAAATGATACAGACTTTCCTCACTTTTAAAACTAATATACAAAAACCCCCTTACGTTACCTATCCGTCCAAAATCAAATAAATTTTGCTGATGTCATCTATAATTATTCTGCAAATTCCAATACTACCCTTCAGCTGCTTAACATATTAAAATAAATTACACTTACCTACCCTACATATATATATATATTTATACTATATATTAAGCAAAGGTTGGTTTTTAACCTCAAGCCTTGTGAGAGCTCCAATCTCCTAATCTAAATTTCCTAATTTTTTGATTTAAAAAAAAAACCTTAGCATTTATTAACTTCTCCCAATCCCAAGTCTTACCCTCATAATAATACTTTAATGTATTAAGAACAATCATAAAAAAAATTCTTTGAAATCCAACACATGAATTCCTTGAAAAGTTTCAACACATATGATTATTATCCCTCATAATAACATTTTAATGCATTAAGAATAAGTATAAAAAAATTTTATTGAAAAATCTAACACATATGATTATTATCAAAATATTAAACTTTAATATAATATAATAAAAAAAGAAGATATTTAATTCCTTGTAAAGTCTAACACATATAATTATTATCAAAATATTAAAATTTAATATAATATAAAATAGGAAAAAAAGAATACATTTTAAAAAAAAACATTTAAAAATCATAATTCACATATATAGATAATTGTAAATATATTAAGGAAAAGGGGGTTTCTAAACCCCAAGCCTTGTGGGAGTTCCAATCTCTCAATCTTAATTTTCTAAATTTTTGATTTTAAAAAAAAAAACTTTACCATTTATTGATTTTGTCAATGCATTAAAGTATTATTATGAGAGATAATAATTATATGTGTTGGGACTTTTCAAGGAATTCATATGTGTTGAATTTCAAAGATTTTTTTTTATGCTTATTCTTAATGTATTAAAGTGTTATTATGAGGGTAAAACTTGGGGGTTGGGAGAAGTTAATAAATGTTAAGTTTTTTTTTTAAATCAAAAAATCAGGAAATTTAGATTGAGAGATTGGAGCTCTCATAAGGCTTGGGGTTAAAAAACTTCTTTTGCTTAATATATAGTATAGATAATTGTGAAGTACATATGAATTCCTTGAAAAATCTAACACATGATTATTATCCCTCATAATAACATTTTAATGCATTAAGAACAAGTATGAAAAAATTCATTAAAAAGTTCATCACATACGAATTCCTTGAAAAGTCCAACACATATGATTAGTATCAAAATATTAAATTTTAATATAGTATATAAAAAGAAAAAAAAAAAGACAAAGCGGTGAAACACAACCCGTGCATAGCACGGGTGATATGCTAGTATATATATAGCCCAAAGGTAGGTGTTGCTTATATATATAAACACATACATATCTATATATACACATATAAATATCTAGTATATATAGGAATTATGTTATAATACATATTCTTGAAATAATGTACTATAAGCAACTTATGACATTTGTGGTATTCATAACTAAATATTTTTTAGTCATAATTAAAAACAAAAGTCATAATTAAATACTACATAAAGTATAATTAAAGACCTTTTGGATCATAACCAAAATAATAATTACAATAGATGATAACCAACATCACAACGAGTCATAACTAACATCATAATGAGTCATAACTAAGCCATAATTAATACCACAATAAATCATAGTCAAATATCACAAATGTCATAACTAGAACATATGATCCCATATATATGAGTTAACTTTTAAATCTAAGTGATTACATATATATTCTATTTTTCTTTTTCTCTATCTTTATCTTTATCTTTATCTTTTTTTTATATGTTTTTCTATTTTTTTAAAATTTTTCGGGCAATTTAAAAAAACTTACTGATACACATGTATATATATATTTTTTCAGAATCACATTTATTGGGGTTCAAAATAGATTTTGATCAATTTTTGTTAGTTTTAAATATGATCCAATATATTTTTTATTTTTAAAATCACCATAAAAGGAGCTTTAATATTTTATTTCAATAATTAATGACTTTAAGAATAATTGATTTTAAATGTTTACAAATTATTTTTGACCAATACATGAATTAACTGAATAAAAAATATTCATAATTATTAAATGATTATAAAAATAAAAATTGTGTCATAAACAAAAATTATTTTGGAGGTATTTTTTAAACAACACTTTACAGCTAACTAAATAAAATTATCTACAATTAAGTGTTAAATAAAATGATTATAAAAATAAAAATTGTACCATAAACAAAATTTATTTTTGAACTACTGATTTTATTTATTTTTTAACGATATTTTTTAGACAACATATTAACAAAATAAAAAATATTAAATAAAATGATTATAAAAATAAATGCAACCACTATTTATATATATTTATTTATTTATTTATGTTATATGCTAATGTAATGAAATAAAAATTCAAAAAAAATTAAAAAGAAAAAAATTCATATAAGATTTTTTCTTTGGATTTAGATCACTTAAGTATTTTTTTTTTTTTTTTGTAAGCTTTTGTTTTTTTTTATTTTTTATTTTTTGGAAAAAAAAAACTATTCAGAATATTGTAATAGGGAGGTACCTGTAATTATGCAAAACCTTAAGAGAGGTAAGTGTAATTTATCATAGGAAAGAATGAATGAGAGTCAGTTGTGTCAGCTGTGTCTTTTCATAATGTGGTTGAAAGGTGTTATGGTCAATTCCATTATCAAGTTAATGTCGTTAAGGCTTTTCTAATGGGAAAGGAGAATCTGACTATTATTTTCAAAAATAAGGGAGGTTTGTATAATTTTTAATATCACAAGAGAGGTATCTGTAATTAAGACAAACTTCAAGGGAGGTAAGTGTAATTTATTCTTTATTTTAAGTGAATAGTAACCCATGGACTTTTAAGATCATTAATAGAGTATATTCATGAGGTTGAACCTATGATGCATCTTCTCGCGGCCCGTTCCCTGTATTGATGTTCTGTTTTTCACAATAGTAAACGGTTTTTCTTTTTCTTTTTCTTTTTCTTTTTTTATAAATAAAAAATAAATAAATTAGCTGAGGTTGAACCCAGGGGTGGGAATTCATTGGACCGATCGGGTTTGGGACGGGTTGATACTATTTAGAGCATCTCCAACAGTGTATCAAATTTTTTATTAAATTTGAGTAAAAAATAACTCATTTTACCAAATCTGGTACCAGATGCTCCAACGGTTCACCTTTCACCAAATCTGTCCCGGGACAACTGGGTGGTCGACCGGCTGGTCGACCGGTGAGTGAAATTTTTTTTTTTTTTTAATTGTCTGAACCGTTTTTGTTGAATTTTCTGAACTTTTTCCGGGACGACCGGGTGGTCGACCGGCCGGTTGACCGGTTAGGGAATTTTTTTTTTTTTTTTTTGAACTGTTTGAATTTTTTTTTGAACTATTTGAATCTTTTACTGGTTGACCGGTTAGTCAACCGGCCAGTCAACCGGCTGGTCGACCGGTTGGTATCACCCCAACGGTCAGTAACAATAACAGTGATTTGGTGAAATGCTTCGCCTGTTCTCAGTTTGATGACATGTTTGGTGAAATCTCATTTTGATATCGATTTGGTGCAACCGTTGGAGCATCAAACAGTAACTTTTCACCAAATTTTAAATTTGATGCTGGGTTTGATGAACCGTTGGAGATGGTCTTAATAAGCGATTTTGTATTTATCCAAACTCGATTTCGTCCTAACATCAGGTCTTTACATCTGTCCAAACTTGACTCAAAAAATAATTATAAATGTCAAGCCTATTCATTGGCTATATGTTAAAAAAATTAAAATATTCTATAATTAAATTTAATCACACATTATATTTCTTAAATAAATTCAATTAAACATCACTACAAATGTGAGTTTCAAATAAATCAACAAAAATAAAGTCTAAATTCCAACAAAAAAATATATTTTTAATATATTATAATTAATTAATAATTTAATAGTGGGTCAGATCGGATTGGATTAAAAGTATAAATCTCAATTTCATCCCATTAATATATCAGGCTGAAAATGTTAGTCTAGCACAATCTTATGGGTTAAAACAACTTTCACAAATTAAAAAAAAATAGAATCAAGCCGAAGAGACTAAGGCCTCGTTTGGCAAGAGGCTATTTTAGCTAATTAGCCAAAAAGTTACTAAATTAGTCGAAAAGCCAACAACCCATACCAAAAAGTCAAAGATTCTCTTTTCTCTCTACTTTTTGCACATCTTTTTATAATTAGCCAAAAAGTCATCCCAAAATATAAATTTTTTTTACCTACATTTTTAACTAAATAGCCAAAAAATGACTAAATTAGCATGTTTCCAAACGAGGCCTAAGTAGACCATGATGCCCACTTCAAAGCTTAAAATGATTCTAAAGTTTTATATTGTTCTTTATTTCCTACAATTTTTTGGACATTGTAATCATAAAATTTTAATGAATGCAATTGGATTAACTCAGTTGATGACGTCAATTCATGGAGTATTTAGGAGGTCAATGGGTACAACAAAAGGTAATTCTTCCTCCAAATTCTATGAGTTGTATACTCTCTTGAATTTGGAATTCAAACTTCTTTTTTTTTTCTCACAAAAATGATAATTAGTCTATTAATAATTAAATTGCAAGACGGATCTCTCATCATCGTGCCAACTTCTTGGGATCTGAAGAATTTCAAGTGTCACCCAAAATTAAAAGGGATATATTGTTAATTTTATTTGCTATAAATGAAATAAAATAAGATAATCGGTAATAATGAATTTAAAAAATTCAAAATGCAGGGCATGTCGGTGGGCTTATGCTTGGCAAGCATGTCGGTGGTACATGAACAGTGAAGGATGTTGTGAGTTGTCTTTTTATTTTTATTAATTTTTTTTTTGTTGAGTTGTCACTAACATGCATCGAGAGAATAAAAAGATCATATGCAATACAACCAAATATATGCCGTTTTATCAATAATAATAATAATAATAATAATATATAGGGCAAATTATATATACCCCTAGAGGTTTAATAAAATTACAGATACTCCTGAGGTTTGAGAAATTGCAGATAGCCCCCTGAAGGTGCTATTTGCATAACATATTAGAGGACAAACTGTTATGAAAATATAAACCTCAGGGGACAATTTGTTATGAAAATATAAACCTCAGGAGGTATCTATAATTTAGCTAATTTTCGAGGGAGGTACATGTAAATTGCCCTAATATATAATATTCTTGTTTTATTAGTTTAATAAACTTTTTTGTCAACGCCCTGGGTGGAGAGCCGCATGTATATCGGTGGATTAGAGTTTTATTAAATAAAAATAAAATCAGTAGTGGGATTCAATAGATGCATACAATTAAAATATAAATTTATTGAATTATATTATATGATAGTTATATTTAAATAGTATAATTCAAACATTTCATGTAATGATGTATTGTTAAATGATAATATCACATGTTAACAATTATGTGATCTCATTAGTAAAAAAATTAAAAAAAAAATATTATTAAGAACAATTTCAATAGATTAACTAAATATATCTTATTAAATATTTTAATTAACCTTTTATATTTTTTACATTTTAGGCTAGTCATCTGACTAGTTAATTATTTATCTATTACATAAATTTTATTAGTCAACACGCGATAGCTAAATATTAAAAATAATCAGTGTGTTTGGTTTGAGTTTTCTGAATTAAATTTTTTAAAAATTGAGTTTTTTTATTTTCGTATTTTTTTTTGTTTTTAGTGAATATTTTTAAAATTTTAAATATTTTTTTTACTTTTTTAAATGTACCTTACTTAGATGTATCTAAAAAGTAAAAAAATTGATACTCCTGAGGTTTGAGAAATTGCAGATAGCCCCCTGAAGGTGCTATTTGCATAACATATTAGAGGACAAACTGTTATGAAAATATAAACCTCAGGGGACAATTTGTTATGAAAATATAAACCTCAGGAGGTATCTATAATTTAGCTAATTTTCAAGGGAGGTACATGTAAATTGCCCTAATATATAATATTCTTTTTTTATTAGTTTAATAAACTTTTTTGTCAACGCCCTGGGTGGAGAGCCGCATGTATATCGGTGGATTAGAGTTTTATTAAATAAAAATAAAATCAGTAGTGGGATTCAATAGATGCATACAATTAGAATATAAATTTATTGAATTATATTATATGATAGTTATATTTAAATAGTATAATTCAAACATTTCATGTAATGATTTATTGTTAAATGATTTATTGTTAAATGATAATATCACAGGTTAACAATTATGTGACCTCATTAGTAAAAAAAAATTTTAAAAAATAAATTATTAAGAACAATTTCAATAGATTAACTAAATATATCTTATTAAATATTTTAATTAACCTTTTATATTTTTTACATTTTAGGCTAGTCATCTGACTAGTTAATTATTTATCTATTACATAAATTTTATTAGTCAACACGCGATAGCTAAATATTAAAAATAATCAGTGTGTTTGGTTTGAGTTTTCTGAATTAAATTTTTTAAAAATTGAATTTTTTGGTTTTCGTGTTTTTTTATTTTTAGTGAATATTTTTAAAATTTTAAACATTTTTTTTACTTTTTTAAATGTACCTTACTTAGATGTATCTAAAAAGCAAAAAAATTGTGAAAAAATATTTTAAAAAATTAAGAAATACATAAAAATACAAAAAATGTACTGAATTCTTGTATTTTTTTTGTATTTTTGATATTTAGTGAATTTTTAAAAGATTTTTTTTACAATTTTTTTATTTTTTAAGTGTATTTATGTTAAGTGTGTCTAAAAAGTAAAAAAATTCACATAAAATATTAAAAAAATTTAGTAAAAACAAAAAAATATAAAAAATATAAAAATAGAATTTTCTGAAAACTAATTTTAAAAAATGGGAACCAAGCAAGCTATTTCCTCATTCTTCTCCAATTGCTTCCTTTCCCATCTTTTGTTGGAAATGATTAATTAATAATAATAGTCTGATGTAATTAACAAAGTAGATGGTACTATTAGAGTACATGTTAACTAAATTGATTAGTCAAAATAAAAATCACACTTTTTATGCATTTTAAGTTGCAAGTGTTGGAGTACTTCTAAGACTAGAGGACAAGTTTAACTTCTGTTGTAATAAAGAAGATGTGAAAAACATAAAATGTACTTAAAACTCTAAATAACATGGTAGAAATTATCACTGTTTTGTTTGGTGCAATTTACGTAATTACTTATATTTTTTTTAAAAAAAATTGAAAATTTATGATTAGATTGTTTAATGCAATTTTACTTATAATTTATTAAATAAAAATAGTTTTAAAAATTTTAATTATAAAAAGGTAAGAAGAGTTGTATTTTAACTTATTTTTTTTTTTAGGAATAAGGGTTGCTGCTATGCCATAAGAAATAGAAGCCTTGCTGTGAGGATCTTTATGAGTTTTTTTGGGGACCTATATTGTTAATATGAACTGTTTATATTATAAGATTTGTCGAGTATAATATTCATGTAAAAATCAAGTTAATCAGATATTGGTAATCTTATGATTAGATTCTAATTATTTTTAAAAAATTATTAAATTCATGTTAACCGTTGATTTTTTTTAAAAAACAAATGTATTCTTCTTATAGAGTTATAGATGTTTAATTTATTTATTTTTTGCATAGATGATCTATTCAACGAACCTTAATATATTAACGGTTCGAATTATTGAAAAAGACTTAGATCAAGCCCCCAATGGGCCACACAACATAAGGCACAGCAGAAACTCGAACTTTTTATTTTTTGGGGTCCAACTTTTTACTTACTAAAACTACACCAAATATACTCACTAACTTGCCCCTCTTAACTAAGGATTTTTTATTTTTTATTTTTTGACAAGATGAAATTATATTTGTGGTCCCTATATTTTGTTCATTATATCATTTTGATTCATATACTTTTAATTAGTTTAATTTTGACATTTAATTTTACATTTTATGTCAATTTGGTCAAATTAATAATGTTGTTAGTGTTTTTGATAGAAAATTATCACTAAATTTATTAAAGCTAACTTACTGAATTGAGTAAGTTTATAATTTTGCCCTTAAAACATGACATATGCCACTTACGTGTATTTTTTTGTATAACAATGGTAAGAGTTGTAATTAATTGGATCAAATTAAGATAAAATCATAAATTTAAAGTTAAAATCAAACCAATTAAAATTATAATGACTACAACTACACAATGACCAAAATATAGAGACTATCGTCATAATTTGTCCTAACAAGATTATGCCATAAGATTCTTCTTTTTATTTGGGTAAATTAACTTTCTCTAAAATTTAGAAAAAATACCATAAATCTTATAAGTTTGATATAATTATATTAAAATTCTTTAAACTTTTAATTCATATAACGTTTGAATTATTAGTCATATAAATAAAAAAACAACGTTGTCATATTTTTACACAAAAATATACATTTTAAATTATTTATCTTTTTAGTTTCACACAATTGTGTAAATAGAATATTAATATATTGAGAGGGTAATTTATAAATAAATTGGGCCGAGCTAAGGAAGAGGCTTCTTTGGAAGTTGAGCCGCACGTTGGACCGAGACAGGAGCTGCTATAGCTCGGTCTAAACACTAACGAGCTTGGGCCAGGAGAAGTTTGGGCCGAGCTATGGGCCGAAGTGTTTTTGCTTCACTAATTGGACCTCACCGTTGTTAGCTCGGTTAGAGACTGCTACGGTTAGCTCGGTCTAAACTACCAAATCGAGGTTTAAGTGGACAGGGACTGAGCTAGGTGTTGCATATGACAGCATCAGATTGAGTATGTTAAAGGGCTAGTGTTAGATCAGTCATACTGTTATTCAACCGTGGTAAAACCATCTCACTTGGTTTAAGCAGTGAGGAGGGTGTTGAAGGATAAGCATTATCTTTTAGGAGTGTGACTCCTAGAAGGATTCTACATTGGGGAATAAGAGTCCTACTAAGATTGTGTCAAACAAAAACTATTAAAGCTCACAACAGAACCTATGCACAGGTATCACAACTTTGATTCTCGAATACACAGAGCTTTTGTCTATTTGTCTATTTTACTGACTTAGGTATCGGAGAGGTATCCGGCACACACCCGCTGGCTAGCTTACGTTTGTGTTCTAAGGGAGTAAACCGACGACGTTTGGAGGAGTGTAAACTTGATCGACAGGATTATACGAGAAATTATTTCTGTGCTCGTACATATATTTATAATTTATTATATTTTTTCAAACTTTAAATGTGATTAGTGTAATTTATTCTTTTTATGTGTCTTTTAGCCGCATCAATTGCGGGGCGGGTGAACGGAGCGGACACTTAATCAGGGGAAAAACACAAAAACCAAAGAATGAAGCGGACACGCGCGAAAACGACGTCGTCCTTTCAACATCCCTAATACTGTGTTTGGTTGGAGTATTTGGAGAGGGATTTGGAAAGGGAAAGGGAAAAGGTGTGTGAACCTATGTGAAATATAGACATGTTTTATTCACATTTCACCTACATTTTCCATTTCTCTTTCCAAATCCCCCAAATCCACCAACCAAACACATCATAAGTATGTGATATATTTGAAGTTAAAGCATCTTTTTTTTATCCTATCACATATTCGGTTTTTGTTATAAGCTGGCAAATTTCTAAGCAATCCTTTGGGAAGAAGTTACGGTTAAAATAGTTACGAAAAATAAAATAAATTAAAAAATTAATAAAATAAAATCTTATATTTAAATTATGATGATTTTATTTTTTCTTTTATAAAAGTTAAAAAAATTAAAAAGTTTATTTCAAACGAGATTTTTTAATCTCAGCCTAAATAGTCAAAAAGTTGTACAGGCAATGCACAATCCAAACGAATCCTAAATACATTTTAAAATCGTAAAATATCTATATTAGAA